CCTCAACGGCTCACGAACGGGGGAAACCGCAAAGAAAAGAAAAACGAAACAAAAAGAAAAAGAATATATATAAAAAAAACCTTACCTGCAGTTTTTGCTAACGCCTTGAATAGGCGTCTGTATACCCCCATGGCCTGGGGGTAGATTCATTCGTTTTTGGCTCATTCTTATGGATGGGCGTGGCGTTGTCCAAAGCCACGTAGGTAGGTAGGTAGGAGGTAGGTAGGTAGGTAGGTAGGCTTTCTTTCTCTGCACCTGGCTACCTCCAGCGCCAGGTTCAGGCCCAACGTTGGACTGTCGAGGTCCAACCTCCTGATGAGTCGGTGCAACCCCGACGAAACAGCCTAGCACAACCCCTTTCCCCCCCTTCTCTGTCTCTCACTCTTCCGGTGTCTGTACTTGGACGCTATTGGCGCCAGGTACAAGCATCGGAGGAGACTGTCGGGGTTCAGCCTCCTGATGAGTTGGTGAGACTCCGACAAAACAGTCTGGCACAGAGCGTGCTTTGATTTGCCCATTCGTTTCAATCGAACAGGCACTCAGTCTCAAGCAAAAAACAAAAAAAGAAGAAAAAATCTAAGTAGAATCTAAGAAGAAATCCAAGGGAAAAATAAAAAATAAAAAATAATCTAACATACCTCAGAAAAATGGCTCGACGCTGTAGAAACGGCATCGTTTTCTTTAGGGACTATAAGTCCCTTTCTTCTTAGTGCGCCATCTGGCACAATTCGTTTTTGCTTGTTTGTTTGTTTGTTTGTTTGTTTGTTTGTTTGTTTGTTTTCTTAGAATTTCCGTTGGCTTATGCCAACGATCGTGTTGTGTTCATGGGCTCACCCACGAACTGTCGAAATGCAGATCCGAGTTCGAGTCCAGATGGACTCGAATTTTTTTTTTTTGGACTATTTCCTCGATTCATGCGTGTCATCCTTGCGCAGGGCCATGCCCATCTGTGCGCGGTCAATCTCAGCCATGAGATCTTCTTGATCGGACGACCGAGATCGGCTGTGCCCAAAAGGCTGGGCTGCTCCAAAAGGAGCTAGCCATGTAGTTACAGTCTCTCAGATTCGATCCCGGTGTCTGCTGGGTAGTGGTTGGGTGACGTAACTTACTGGGCTAGCTCCTGTTTCACACTAAACAGGAGCAGCTCTTCAATATGAAGAGTTAGCCCAGATGATTCCCCTGCCTGCGGCCTTGCAGGCTCCGCCTGTATGTGGCTTAGCAGGCCTGCCCCGGCTGTGGCCTAGCAGTTTTGTCCTGCCTATGGCCTGCCGGCATTCCTGCTCGTGGCCTACCCATACCAGTTAGCCGCGTGACCGCGGCTTGGTCGGCCTTCGAACCGAGTAAGCCTTGGCATTTGCCTATCGGCCCCCAGGCTCGAAATCAGACCCCGCGGCCCTAGAGAAAACAAAAGCTTCGTACGCCTCCTGCGTCGTGGCCCCATACCCCGGCGCAACTCCCTCCTTAGCCACTTAGGCCCTGAATCGCGCGGCTGATATTTTTAGGTAGAATAGGTATAATTTTAGTCTTTCCATGACTGCACACTACTGCGTCCTTGTCGAAAAAACCCGCAGATGACAGTGCAGACTCCCGCTATCCCGCGCGGACGTTGATGTCGTCTTGCGTTGACGACGTCAGGTTCTAAAAAGGCTTAGGTCTCTCAGTCATAGCGTTGGTCTGAATAAACGTTTGGCAATGTCAGTCTCATCAAGTCCTTCAATTCAACGCAAGAGTCGGACAACGTTCGATTTTCAAAAACACCGGCAAATACCCTTGTCAGGGTTTTTGCCCCGACAGCAATCCCGAACCCCATTGAACGACGTTCCCGTCGTTCACCCGATATTAGTCAATAATATAGGGCTCTCTGGATTCTTATGGAACTCTTTTCAACAAAATTTCTTTCAATCGAAAATAAGCCGAAGCTTATAACCAAAAACCGAGTTATTGCCTCGGTAATGTAAAATTCAATCATCCTTGATTGGAATGGTACCAGATGTAGCCTCTGGCAAGCCTTTCATCAAAACCTGAATTTATACCGGTTCAAGTTCCGGAATCACTAAAATTTTTCAAGGAACTTTGTCTAAATGGTCCCAGCATCATCCCACTGGCGGCAACTCTAAACATGATTTAGTCTCTCAGAATGGTTCCGGAAATAGCCTCCGGCTAGCCTTCTAAACGTCTGTCGGCTAATTTTTACATTTATCTAAAAAATGTCAGGTTTAACCCCTTGACGGGTATTTCAAAATAAATAACCTTCTAAGCGGCCCAGATAGACTCTGAACCAACCATTCATGAGATAAACCATTTATCAAAAGTCCTTGTCCAGGTTTTGTATCCCACTCCAATTACGAGTTATCACACATGACATTTTTTCTGCATGCTTTGTGATATGTGTCGAGGAGTGGTGTAATCCTCAAGGGATAACATCTCGACGTCAAGCCCCGCTTTAGACTCGAGCCTCACCACCTTCCCTCCGATTCTAGCATCATGTGCTTGTCAGTCCCCTACACGCAAGGTTGAACTACCCTTTCTCTATGACCTAGGCTGGTCAGACCCGGACATAGAGGCGAGGCGACCCCATTCGTCACAAGGCCAAGATGACCACTCCTTTTCCCCATAGCGAGCGGCAGTCGTCAGGCTCACAAACGAGATTTCAACAATCACAACAATACCTTCCTCCCTTTCAATGATAGTGTATCCACCCTCCTTAAAAAGGAAAAGTGACAGCATCCCACTATGGAGCGAAGTTCCGACGTAGGCCTCACAACCACCTACAGAGCTCACTGCATCAGGACTCATTATATTATAATAACTAAAAACATTACGAAAGCTCTAGGCTATGCTAAATAATTGCATTACATGCCTTTGTGAATAACCCACGGAGTCATCCTTCAAGCCATATAATGCAAGTTACATATCATTTTCTTAGAACTTTTTACAACAAGAATATACATCAAATAACAATATACATTTTCACAGAGAATTTCATACATTCCAGTCCTAAAATATTCATAAATTTGCATTGCATCACATTTCGAGCAAAAAACGATTTCTGATCCAAAAACCACAACACAATTCTACGAACAGAAGTCGCACAATTTATTAATTATACAAAACATGGAATCATAGGTCCCTAAATTAAATCCAAAACCCAAGAGTCAAAAGTTACAATTTCCTTGTCTGTCCTCAGAACCAGTCAGCAATTAGTGATCCGAAAAGAAATAAAAGATGAAAGGGCAAGTCCTGAAAAGAAGAGGAAACTTATACTAATAAAAAACCCTTTTATTAAGTCATTTGAATAATTTTTTTCAAATGCGATCCCAACACCCAATTTCTACCTCGTGCCCCATCCATCTCTTCGATCTCATAAGCCCCATGCTCAAATTTCCTGATAATACGATAGGGCCCCAACCATCGGCTGTCCAATTTCCGAGACCATTGTTTTTCCAAGGACAAATCATAAAGAAGCACAATATCCCCAACTTCCAAAGGTTCCTTACGAACACGAGGCCCCTTATCCCATATTTCCTTGTCGGCCTGACTACTCTCTGAAGTAGAGGCAGCGGCCTCCTCAATCTTTTCCTCAGTGATCATCATTTGTTTTGCCCTCAATTCCAACAACTCCTCCGTTGAAAGTTTCGTTTCCACATCCTGCTTTCTCCAACTGGTAATAAAACTTTCGATTGGAAAAGTTGCATGACGCCCAAACCACAATGTGACTGGAGCGTATCCAGTTGTCCGCTTTATGGTGACATTCTCAACAAAGAATGTCGTTCTCAAATATATCGGTCATCTTGAAGGATCGTCTCCGCACCATTTAGCCAACAAATTTGTTAGAGTGGCATGTCCACGTTCAACTGGCGCATTGGCCTGGGGATGTGCCCTTGTAGTATAGCTAAAGCTTACTCCAAGTTTCTTCAGAAGCGCCTGCACTTCCCCACCCCGAAACTCACCACCTCGATCCACGACAATTTCCCGGATAAATGGGTACCGAAGATAATATTTCTCAATGCATTCTGCTAAAACATGCCCAGTACGCTCGCGAATGACACAACCATCAACGAACCTAGTCAGATTATCTCTTGCATTGAAGATATATCTGTACCTATTTATCCCAGGTGGAATGACCAACAGATCAAGGTGTACTACTGCTCCTGGCTCAACGACATATTGTGGATTAAGAGGTTCAACAAAACGCAGATTAGATCGCCTTTGGCAAGGAAGACAAAAGTTACAAAAGTCATTTACCATCTTGTTCATTCCTTCCCAAAAATAAAGATATTGATTTTTTTTCAAAGTGACTCGTGCCGATCTATGTCCGCCTGCGACCCCATCATGCAAAGCTGCAATCACATCAAGTTGTCGCGTAACCCCACATACCACTCTTATCGAAATATCATCGTTGGATTTCTTGAAAAGATGACCATATCTTACAACAAAATCCTTACTTTTCTGACGAACAGCTGGATCCACCTCATCATCCCTCAACTCACCATTCAACCACATTCTCATCAATCTGTACTCCCCATCATACTCTCCTTCTCTGAAAGCTTCTCTGATTTCACTGCCTTCTGCTTCTTCATTCATCATTTTCAGGTGGTCCTCGTCAATTAGAGAATTCACAAGGAATGATATCTCTCCAGTGATCCTGAAAGTTTTATCTGTCTGCTCATGCCCATATTCAATCGCCAGTGGCTCTTTGATGAGCTCGACTTCATCAGACAAAGCCAAGTTCATCATTTGCTCTGATGTTCTTTCACCCCATGGGTCTTCCTCAATGAACGACTCCCCAATCACAAGCTCTGATCGCACATGATGGAAACAAGGAGCATTCCAGATGGTTTTCCCATGCCGGGTCATTGCATCCGCCAAATAATTGTATGAGTTAATACTCAAATGTAACTCTTCTCCTTCCTGGAATCCATCGAGAGGAACTGAATCCTCATCCTGATCCGTCGATGAGTCCCAATCAACACGACTCAATCCATCTGCTCGATTCTGAGTGTCTGAAATGCGCTCAATCTCAAAATTGAACATCCAAATATACGTCAGTCATCAAGCAATGGTTGGATCAGAAGGAGAATAGTTCTTCAATGATTGAGCTAAAGCCGTAGGATCAACTCGCAGAATGAGCAGCCTGCCAAATACATAATTCTTGAAAATGCGTAGACAATGAAGCACAACGAGAGTTTCTTTCTTGAACTGGGAGTAGTTTCGCTCAGTAATATTCAAAGTTCTGCTCTCGAACCTCAATGGTCGTTCCCGTTCTTCCCCATCCTTCTAGACCAAAACTCCTCCCAAAGCGGTAGGACCTGCATCGGTCTAGATGATGAAAGGACGGCCTTCAGCATCATCAAAGCAAGGAACTCCCAGAATCAGGCCGCCTTCTCGAAACTCAGCTTTAATATCCTCAATGGCTGCCTGCTGCTTCGGTCCCCACTCCCAGACCTGGTTCTTGCGTACTAACTTTCGCAAGTGTTCCACCCTCGCTGCGAACCTGCGGATAAAAATACGCCAAAATCCGCAAGTCCCGGGAAAACTCCGAATGTCGGTAATAGATCTGAAGGGAGTCGGTCACTCCAAAATCTTAATCGTCTTCTGGGCATCTGGCCGACGACCTTTCTCATCACAAAGGAAACCCTCATGCCATGCCTTGATTTAACCCCACTAGCTGTCCTTGATTCGGGCTTCTGGGATAGCGAAATCATCAATATATGGAGAAGTCACGTCCGGACAAAGCGGCTGCATGACTCTCATCATATATCTCTGCACAATTGTCACGACATTTGTCCAACCTTGTGGAGCCGCGCACATATGAAGCAGTCCCCGAGGCGTATGCATTGCCGTGATAGGTCGATCCGCTGTGTACAACGGGAACTGATCATACCCTGAATATAAATCAATTAGGGTGATGATGGGTCTGCCTGCACAAGATTCCGATAGTTGATCGGCGTTCGGAAGTCTGCCCGCACCTCGGACTGTTACAGAATTCAACTTCTACGGGTCCTGAACCCATCGCAGAACACCCGTTGGCTTGATAAAGCAGAACCAAGGAGACGCATACGGCCCATACGAATAGTCTGCCACTTTGGTCCGAATCTTACCATCAAGATAATCCATCACCTTCCGGTGATCGTCTGGATTCGGATATCATGGGTCTCTCACATTCCATGGCTCATGCGGTATCGTATGAATCCGGATCATTGGAATCATATCGACGTCCAGCCTTCCACGCTCATCATCATCAAAAGCATAAGCAAGATGAACGTTCTTCATAAAGTCGATAAAGAATTGAACTTCCTCCTTAGTAAGGAGGCCATCCCCAATGATCATCTCCTTGACCCTGTCTTTTGTCAATCGACACGGCCCCTTCTCACCTTTCTCCTTCAACGTTCTGATCCACTCACGTTCTTCCTTGTAATACACTTCCTTTTCCTGAGTGATCAGAACTGGCACTCGTCGCGCCTTCTCTCCTACTTTCTTATAATTCCTCTTGGACCCAATGCTGAACTTCCGTCCCCTAAAAAAGACTCTTGTCTGGCTGATGGTAGTGATTCCTCCATGCGAGATTCATTTGGCCGATAAACAAGATGCATGGTTCCAGCACCTTCCTTGTCAACCACAGCCTTCATCAGGGCCTGTACTAGGCTCAAATCAATTGTAGGATGGCTTGCTGCAAAATCGACTGCGTGTGAGATACTTGGCAATGTCAATGAAAACTCTTGAGGATCCCTTTCTTCATCGATCGCCTCTTTCTCCCTCCTCAACTTCTCAGACTCTAAGAAGGTATATGATTCGGGATTCAACCGGTTCCTCGAATTTGTTGGTCCGGTATTCGCGCACTTTACCACTTCATAATAGCCGCAAAACCGGATCGCCCAAAGCTACAAACATGGTGTCGTCATGTTTGTTGAAGATTATGCTCTTTGTGCGACATTGAAAGGACCTTCCCAAAAGCACTTCGTGTTCAACCTTTGGCAATATATAAAAATATAATCGCTTTTACCTTCCCAACTGTGACCATTACGCCACTAGCCGTACCGCAAAATGGCGTTGCCCCGCTGGCTCCAATAAAAAATCCAAAGTCATTGCGATTGATCTGAACCCCAGCTTCAATCGCATGCCTCTCTCTCATAATGTTCATATCGGCTCCGTCATCGACGAGAGCAGAGAACTCTCCACGGCCGATTTGAACTTTTATGAGACCTGTGGCCACGCATCGTCAGTCCATCTTCGTGCCAGGAGGCGCCCAGTTAGCTTCTTGAGGGATGATCTCGCTCAGCTTGACTGTCATGACGTTCTTCCGAGTCATGCACTGCTTAAATTCCTCGCGGAGCTTCAGCGATACTGCAAAAATCTCCTTCAGGATAACCAGATCACGCTGACTTTCAAGAATACGATCCACCAGTTGTTCAAAATCAATCCCTTGTTCAATAGGGATTGAGTACACATTTTTCTTTTTGCGAGGTTCTTCTTCCTCGACCTGGGTCTTCCCTGCTTCCGACGCCCTTTCCATAGCTCTCTTCTTTGCTAGCAGTTCATCCTTTGCTCGCAATCTTTCATCCTCCTCATCATCATCCCCTTCTTCTACCTGAATAGGTTCTTTTTCCTGAGGTTCCTTTGAACTTTTTCCTGGCGCAGGTTGCGATTGTGAGGTCTTCCTTCCTTTCCTCGTTTGCACCATGACGGTTGGCATCCCTCGCTTGAGTACAGGTCTGGACATCATCATCGGTCGTGTCATCGGCGTTGCTTCAGGTACCGAAGAGGCCGCAGGTGCTGACCCGTCCTGACCTTCGTTCCCCCATCCACCAAAAAGGAACACATTAGAAAGGTTCGGTCAAACTTCTTCCATGTCAACACATAATTGAACAATGGAATCTCGACATTTGCCCAGTTTTCTGGTTACCTCTCGCGCCCGATGAGAAATGTCTTCTTTCTTTTCCTCCAACTCTTTTTCGTCACACCCACCAATCTCTAGAGAAACCATTGTTTCTTCCAACTCAAAAAGACTTGCTTCTTCAGGAGAAGCTAGGCGGAACGTGGTCGGAAGAGGACGGCCCATCCGTGGAAAAGCCTCCTTTCTCATTCCTCCTTCAATATCCTCATCGATGAGGTTTCCCTCGAAGTCAAAGACTTCTCCTCGAATCGTCGTGAAGACGATATGGTTCTTCTCGTCCTTGGCGAGAATCTGGCAGAAACGAATAACATGTCCCTTCATATCGCAATATTTGCAGACGTATTCCTACCTGTTCCCACGTTCGCCTCCATTTCCGCGGCCTCTACAACGGCCTCGACCACCCTGTGGTTGAGTCTGTTGACCTTGATTTTGTTGTTATTGGTCAACCTGTCATTCCCCGCTTCCATTTCCTCCGTTCTTGCTGCTTTCTCCTTGTTTACGAGAAGTACCTTGCCCTCCTCGTATATGGTTCAAGGCTTTCCTCTCAGCCTTGGTCAACTTACGAGGGGGTTCCCTTTCCTCCTCGCTCTCGCTCTCACTCGCACTGCTACTCTCTTCAGTGACAGGCTCCTTTCCTTTTCTCTTCCAAGTTTTTGCCTTGACCATCATCACTTGAAGTTTTAACCGTTCCTCCTTCATACTGCTCATCATTTCCCTCATGTCAGATAAAGTCTTATAGAACTGCTTGTCCTTGTCCGTCCCCAGCTGTAACCTCTCCCGATTCTCCTCTTGCTGTTTCAGCAGCCGATAGAGGATCTGGTCGAAGTCCCCGGCCAATAAATTCTCTCGAATTTTTGGCCAATCATACCTTTCTTTCATGCCTTTCACCAACTTTAGCTGTTCCACCTCCGTGAAATTATCCAGGAAGATGAAGCAACGATCTTTATTTGGAAGGTCAGGAACTAATTTTGTCACCTGCTCGAATTCAGTAAGGAACTGCTTTGTTGTACCAAAGCTTTTCCGACTAACCTTCCTCAAATCGGTCAAGTTCAACATTTGATCGCTCAGCTAGTACTTTTCTAGCAGCTTCCTTTTGAATTTTGGCCAGTCCAGCGAATCTTGTACCAACTTCTCCACCTCTTCCTTGTACTGGATCTTACAGTATCTCTTCATCATTCGAAGCATCTTTTCATTCGACTATTCGCAGCAACTTCCCAATTCTACCCATCCCGAGGCGTTGTTACCATCAAATAATGAAACGTCAACCTTCGGGATTTGATCCTTCTGGGATTGTTGAATAATCATGGCAAGCTCCCGAATGTCATTTCTCCTTTCGTCCTGATTGTCGTTGTTATTAGCCATCTTGAGTGAAGAAAAATAACAACATATTAACAGAAATCAGTCAATCCTTCTGCATAAATAATATCTCATAATTTTCGGATCAAATTACTGACTTTTTCAGAGGTCAAACAAGGAAAAGAAAATAACTTTTTACTCCATTAATCACCCAAGTGTCGTTCCGCTAGGGACAATGGTAGTTTGTCGTTATCCCCGGCAACGACGCTATCTGTCGTGCGCATCGGCCCTCGCGTGAAAACGAGGGCTCTCCCGGCCATGTCATGCAGGAGTTTATCTAAAACATAACTTTAAGAGACAACTCGGGAACGACGCATAACTTTTCGCGAGCCGCCGAGACGGACGTGGTTGCTTCGCTCCTTCGTCGCTCTAGCCGGGTGCGCCAGCTATACTTCCCACGGTCCCCTGCGACAGGACAGGTTCCCGCGGGGCATAAGCTTGCATCCCTAAGGGGTTGTCACCACCCTTAGGGGTATATCCCTACCGAGCTTCTGATCTACATGCGAAGACTTTTAAATGCAATCGCAGAGGTAGATCAACCGAGGGTGTTTGCTCGTTTCACTGCAGTATAAGAATTGGTTGACTAAACGCCGAATGAATCCGAGCGTCGTTGTTCCCTGGGGCGCTGATCTACCAAGTACGAAGCGTACGTCGGTCGACTAGGACAGTCTCAACTTAGTGTGAAAACAGTCCTTAGTCCCTAGCAATCAAAATAACGAAAATCCCTCATACCTTAAAACAAAATCACACAATCCAAATCGTTGACTTGATGAGCTGGTCTGCCAAAATGTCTCCTTTCAACCTGTATGACTGAAATAACTTTTATATTATCGTTCCAAGATTATTAATTTGAAGAAATAAACTAAGAATGATCTTCTTATCATGACTACTGAACCTTGTCATGAATAGCTTCTGTAAATAAATATTACTGGTACCATGCAGATCAACAAGCGATTTGGTTCCTGGTCGATGTTTGAACTCTCGATTCGACCACATTTCCTTACCATATTCAATTATTTGGAGGAGCGAGTGACAACCTTGTTGGTCGCTTTGCCGTCCTGGACAATAATTACTCTTTCTGTTCCGCGAATGATGAAGTATCCATCTCTAACGCCAAATTACGCAACGCAGAAATATTTCATCTTCCACTGCTTTGCTTGACAACTTTTTCAAACGTTCCCTTTTCACTCTATCCAGCTTATTTTTATGCGAATGATTACCCCTCAATGCATAAGCATGATAGTAATATCATCGGGGTAATCCGAATACTATCCATCCGGCGGTCCTAACTACATAAAGTGTTTTGTTTTTGTTTGTAGATTACCTCGTGAAACCATAAGTTATATGCTTTCCTCAACGGGACTGAGTCCATGCGAAGTGTTTTCTGAAATCTGAGTAAGATTTCAGAAGACGATGTCTAATCCTAATAAATCTCTCGCCCGCCGCGCACCTGTGCCTCCAATAAATCCAAACGTGCGAGCTCGTCGTCATCGAAAATCAAAGTAGACATTCATCCACATCGCATGACTCTAACAATCCGAGTATTATAGAAGGAGGCCATCCGAGAGACTAGCCTCCAAACTATAATTCGAAGAGGTCGACTAAGCCCAAACAGGTGTCGACTCTCTGTGTCCCGGATCCGGACGACACCGAAACGCCTCCCGGATGAGGTAATTTTGATACTCACAATGACTCGAGAGAGACATTGGAGGTTACTCGCGCAGTGGAAATGCAAAGTATAACCGTAAAGCTCATCGGAAGTTCGAGCCGTGTTGGCTCTGAAATCCGCGCGAGTATTAGAGGAAAATCCCTCGCCATTTTGAAGCAGTCCAATGAAGCCAAACCAGTCGATAGGAGACTCATCTCGAACTCGTAAAAGTCGCGCCGCACTCTTGATGAAATCCTCCTCGTGTGTATCACGAACCAGCAGATACCTCGGGATTGTCAGGTCTCGTCGTGCTCCAGGCATCTACATATCAGAACGAATCCAAATTAGTCGCGTAAGAACTCCTCGAGTTCTTCATCTTCATCTTCCAAATCATCATCATATAATGCTTCGGCTCCTATAATAGCGAACCTATCGGCACGTATCCGCTCTGTGTAGTATATGCCGAAGAATAGGTCTTGTCGCTCATTTAGCCAAAGCACATAACGGACGAACGTCAACCTTATTTCCGGGATCTCGTCCACCCGTGGATTGAGTTCGCATGATTGCAATATCACCAAGTTCATATTAACGAAGTGACGTTCGGGCAATGGCGGTGCAAACTCGTAGTGAATAACATCCAAGCCGGCCGGTCTCCTGAAAATAAGCCGTCTGGGGGGTCTCTGCGCACTGCCATCCCAAAACCGCGGAACGTCCTCCTCTGAGTACAACTCTGATGGGTTATAAACAAGTCGGCCTATCCTTTCTACTCTTTCTCCATTACGCCTTTGAATTTGAACCCTTTCGGCCGCCGAATTGCGGTCGTAGAAAAGGAACAGGTTCATGGATCCCGCAACCATCTGAAAGAAAAAGGAAGTCGAATGTGATCAAGTTAAAACTAAGTATCACTTAAAACATTTGTCTTCCTTCTGGCCTGTGCTTCTTATGGCACGACCAACCTCGTCGGGAGTATCTAAATGTACTCCGTTCAGCTAGTGGAACATGAGTCGGACTGCTTGTGGCGCCAACTCTCCATACGTTAGTGGTACCTAGGATGACCACTAAAACAGGATTGCTAAGGCAATTTTTCTTTTTCGCAAGGCGTGAAGAAATAATTTTATTCCGTGTGGATGCCTTTTCTATTACCCTAAGAGGTGGTCTGAGATACTCCTTCTCCTCGCCCGAGTACAAAACTCGGATCTCAGAAGTCGGGCCGTCTCCACCGAATTGGCATAGTACCCCCCGCAAAGCAGTCCACTCTGAGTCGATAACAGGGTCGGCCCCTAAGGCAACGAACCCCCGCCCCAGATGTCTCATAGAAAAAGGGAAAACACCTACACGGCAGGCAAGTAGAGTCTTGTCGCCTAGCGTTAAAGTAAACTTAGACGAAGAAAAAGGGATCGTAGAAAGATAGAATCATTCAGACTGACAGACATAGATGGAAAAGGGTTATTCGGGAAAGAATGGGTAACCTCAAGAATAAGTCTAAACCAAGTTGAATTTCTCTTCCTTACGCTCGCTTCGTTTCTCGTCGTCCTTTTTTTCTTTTATTTATACATAGAATACAAACACGAAGATGAAAAGTCATCCATTCGTTCACCGTCATTACCCTCATCCATTTCAGTCCATTTGCGGTACCTGCAGTCAAAACCCAATGACACACAGACCACCATGCATTCCTTTACCATTGTTAGACTCCCAGTCATACACGCAAGAACACACATCCTCTTCCCTTTTTCAATGAACATTCAGTGAAACAGGTCAAAGCAAGTGTGGGTTCACTCAGGTGTGGAGGGAACTGAGYCAATTTAACTGACTGACCTTGAGTGAAATTGAAGAAACGGCCCACTCAGGAAGACCGTGTAAATCACACTCCAAAGAAGACGATTGTCACAATGAGTCGCCCGCAAAACAATCCACACCACTCCTTAGAACGATCGCTTGTCGCGACACCCTGTGTCGCCGCTGTAAGATTTTCGCAGCGCTCCCACACCACGGCTGGTTAAACCGGAGTCACCGTCGAAAGATTCCGACAGCGCTACCGCACTACTGCCGAAAACCCGGAACCACCTCCGTAGAATACCCGGTGGCGCTTCCGCACTACCACTGAAAAATCAGGCCTGCCGCCGCAAAAAAACAGCAGCGTTTCCGCACCATCGCTGAAAAACCAGGCCTGTCGTCGCAAAAAAACCGGCAGCGCTTCCGCACCACCGCAGTGAAGGCCTGTGCCGTCACAACAAAATTTCGGCAGCACTTTCATACTTCCGCAGTGAAGGCCTGTGCCACCGCAGCAAAATTTCGACAACACTTTCGTACTACCGCAGTGAAGACCTGTGCCGCCTGCTGTAGTCCCGTAGTGCCACCGGGCTCGTCCCGTGGGACCAGCACCAGCCAAAGGGGAGGGGAGCAGAGTGTTCCCTGCCTTGGCTATGGTTGCCCAGTCTTTCGCCTGGTGCTCCTCTGCAGTCCTCCAGCTCCTCCTCACGTTGCCTCAGCAGCAGCTCCAGCAGCCACAACACTCAAGTGTGTCCGTCACACACTGGCAGCACGAGTGCTTTGTGTGACAGCTGGGGGGCAGTTGCCTTTTTTATATTGGCTTAAGAGAGCTGGATGTCACTCCAGCCCCAAAGCAAAAACGCGGGCTCACAGTGAGCCCTTGATCTGACGTAGATCCAAGGCTGACTGTGGTCGCACGACAGTCATAGCCTTAGTGTGGGGCAGTTTCTTTAACTGACCCATTTTTATTTTTATTTTCTTTTTCCCAGCTATCTCGAAATCTGGCGAGATAACTGGTCTCCTGCCATTTCCAAAACATTTTCTTTTCTTTTCCTGATAAGGGGTTGGAGAGATACAGCCCCTTACAGTTTCATGTACCTGGACCCTTTTTCCAGGGCAGGTATATTAGGGAAAAGGCTGCATCTAGCCTTTTCCTTAGTGGCCTTTAAATTTTCAGGCTCCCAGCAAAAACGGGAGCCTGACAGTTACCTCTGGCAGCTTCTGCTAGAGGTAGCATCACGTGAGGACAAGTGTCCTCTCACGCAGTAAAGAAAAAGAAAAGAAAAAAACCAACTTTCTAATTTCTACTGCACCTGGCTTTCCCCTTGGCCAGGTGCATGCTGTTG